TTCACCTACAAGTGGCAAGGAAAGCCCCAAAGGGTTTTTAGTTCAAAGTAACATGTGAGTTATGCACAGTCTGCTTTGTAAACAGTGTCACATAGGGAATCTAAGTGAGGGGGCCATTGCACGTGTTGGAAGGCAAGTTCACGTAGGATGGAATCTTCCCACAAGTGGAAGGACTAAAGCTCATCTGACCCAGATTTCCATTCCATGAGATAGTAGAGCCATCTGTCATCAGATGAACAATTTGCGTTTTTCTCCATCTGGAGAACCACAGGGGTCAGCATGCTCAGTGCAGTGGGTGAGCATATTGCATCGGGCAAATTTTGCATCCCCTGTCACCAGGTTGGGTCTCCAAAGAGTGCTGCCAGACCCACTTATCTTCTGCAGCAAATGTTGTAATAAGTAGCTAGAGGACCTTTCCTTCCTCTGAGTGCACCCCCCACCAAAATAACAGCAGGTGGTAAAGCTGCCTGGAGAGTCAGATTGGCTGTAAAACAGCCAGCCAGGCTCAAAACCTTGTTTGTGAAAGGTCATTCCCTATCATGGTAAGCAAGATGTTGAGGGTAGAGATGGGGGGGGCTTCATATTTGTATTCTAAGCCTGATGCCACTGGTAACTGGCCCAATTACCTCCCATCACCAGAATCCACCAGTCCACTTACAGCGTGGCATGCACGCCAGGCATCATCTGTGCACCCATCGCAGCAGCAGCCTAGCTGCTGCAGCCCCATCTCCCTGCTCGCCCAGTCACTCTGGCAAGGGGATAGATAGGAGGAGGAGTCTCCTCGCTCAGCCGTGGAGTAGCCGGTGAGCAGGGAGGCAGGGCTACTGCTGTTATTGGTGCATTGACGATGCCGCCGCACATGCTGTGCAGTAAGTAGACCAACATGTTCTGGGGGTGGAAGGTAATCGGGTTGGCCACCTGTGCCAGTGGGGCTACATATTTGTCTATGAATATGAAGCCCCCATCAATAATGTTGAGATTCAGGCACTTACAAAACCACAACATTTATTGAAGAGTGTGAATGGCTTATTATCTACTTCACAATGCCTGGTTGTCAGGACAACCCCCCTCACAACAGCACATTTTTTACCTTCATTCACTTCAGTGCTTCACTAGGCAGAGTGGCTACCTACCCAGTGCCCCAGAGCAAGATACTAGGAGTGATGGGGCACATGCCCTCCTGCCTCAGGCAGAAGAGCAGGTCATGCTGCGGCTAAAAAGAATAGGCAAAGGTGGGGCCTCATTATCCCTTTGACTTTCTGAGTTTCAAATGAAAGATGTAGGAAGAGTCACAATAAGAAGTTCTGACATTTGACAGTGAATGGAGCATACAAGGAGCAGTATCACAGCTTAATTGTTTGGTGTTTTTGTCTGTGCTTCTATAGCATATGCCGCCAGTAATGAATTTCCATCTTAGAAGATGTAGATGCAGGGTACTTAGAGACTTCTTGGTAAAGATCAACTCCATATTTAATTTGGATGTGGTTGCTGTGCATTACATGTAAAACCCTTTCCCCTCATTCAATCAGATGGAGAAGAAAAAGCAAGAGAACAAAATGAGAAGGGACCAGTTAAATGATGAATATCTGGAGTTACTGGAGAAGCAGAGGCTTTACTTCAAAACCGTCAAGGAGTTTAAAGAGGTAAAAGGAAAGAAATGCTGAAATTCTAGCAGCAGTAGTAGAGAATTTATAGGCAGAGACAATCTACCCCATGTTATACTGCTGATGATATATGTTGCCTGATAATACATTACTGGTTTAGTTTTAGAATCAGAATAATGGAGCTTGAAAGGGTCTATAAAGGCCATTGAGTCCACACACACACACACTCAGTGCAGGTATTTAAGTTAGAGTATATCTGACAGATGGTATCTTGTTATTGATTTATTGATTGATTTTGCATCATCACCGGGTAGTGCAAAATTTTGGAGAACAGAAGTGAATGCAGCAGAATCGACTATTTGCAGAAGAGCCTAAAAGCAACTGGAGGGATTGTTTGATATTAGTATGGCATTTCAACTGCTCCTTTGCTGTCCTGTGTAATTTCTATTAGCCAGTCCTGACCCTTTCTCAACCTAGCAATGAATCTCATTGCTTTATATTCCCCCAGCATTTATGGAACGTGTCCTCTACACCAGCCTTTCTCAACTAGTGCCTCCATGCTCCCATTGTGTTTGGGGGTGGGGAGGTTACTAAATCTGCTGTCTTGGTAGTCCTTCCTATTAAACTGAGTGGATCTAAGTTCTAAATAGCCATGCCTAGGAGTGTGCTGTTAGTTATCATTTGTTAACATGCATTTCTCCATTGTTAAATGTCTGAAGCTTCTATCTTTTTTTTATCAACAGGAATGCCGCAAAAATGAAATGCTTTTGTCCAAGTTGAAAGGCAAGAGTTCTTGAATGACTTCAGAGAGCCGCTCCTTTGTGGAGCTGAATTTATAAATTTTCCACGTTCAGTTTAATCCACCCATTGATTAGGTCGGTTCATTTTAAAGATGTAATGAATCAGCACAATATTACTTTGATTTCTTTTGTATGTTTATGTAAATATATATATAAGACACATAAAAATTGTATTCTTTCCTACTTTGATTTATCTTTGCACTAGTTGATATTTCAGGAAAAATACACATGCTGTAGAAAACATGTATCATGTTTTAAACAACAAAGAATAAATCGAGATGCATTTAACAAAAGCCTCCAACTGATTTCATCAGCTTCTTATCATGAAGACATTTTGAAGGGCTTTCTGCTCTGGTGATGAGATCAAAGATCACTTTGTTGTATGTATACAATAACCTTAGATCAATATTAATAAAAAAATTAGACCTGTTTCCTAAAGATACAGAGAGCAGAATTTTGACTTCTTCCCTGAATTAAAATTTGGGCATCTAGCTCTCACCACAAAAATCTCCATGCCACGGGTTGCAGATCTAGGTAACGCCTAGATGAAGTTAAAATAACTTCACATTGGAAACAGTACATCTGAAGAATGAAAAGGAATTTGGTCCTACAGATAATGTTGGATGGGTTGAAGAAATGCAAATGTCTCTCCCAAACCCAAGGATGTAGTTGCTTCAGAATCTGATAGGGAGATTTAGTTGTTGAGGTGGGTGTTGTGCTCTGAGAATTCTGAATGGCAGCCACAGCTTGCTCCCCACTGATTGCAACCAGAACCCAACATGCTCTATGGACAAACAGAAAGCACTTCCGGCCATACACTAGGAGAATGGGATGGTCTATGGTTTTCTTCTGCGTGTTGCTCAATGCACATGTTTGTGTTCTGCAACTCCCTGTACTGCTTCTCCCACTGGTGTCTCTCCCCTCCCCACCCCCCAAGACTGAAGTACTTTGGGGTTGAGCATGAAGCTTTGCAACGTGAAAGGAGTAAGAGAACCTGGTGCGGCTTGGAATCCAAAGCCATGCAGTTGAATTTGCTGTAGGGATTGGATTAAAAAACAAAAGTTGTCCATCACTGAAGTAGCCCAAACATGCTTATAGTTTTGGGCTTAAAAGACATTGGATTAAAAAACAAAAATTATCCATCACTGAAGTAGCCCAAAATCTCTAGGCAAACATGCTTATAGTTTTGGGCTTAAAAGTTGTCTGCATTATTATAATACTACACAAAAGATTTACTGTACCTTTTTAATGGTGAATACAAGAACAAGTAACTTAATTTTATTATTGTAGCTGGAAGGATCCATTGGTTCATTTTGATTGAGCCTGTACTAACTTTGCATGATTTTTTAAAAAAGCATTCAAGGCGTCAGTGCCTTGTGTCAAAGTAACATTCTATGGGATGGCTGAGTGTGCATGGACTGGGAAGCCTGTGATCTGTCTGTCACCTAGCCTGTGTACTCTCATCTGAAACGTGGGATAATAAACCCTCCTGTACAAATGAGGGGATACAAGTGCAACCTACTCTACATAGTATAGATGGTAAGATTTCATAAGTCAAGAAGAGCTCTCTAAATATAAGAATAAACAGTCACCTATGTCCTTCCCCTCCAACCTATGGAAAATACCTCCACTCTCCTGGATCAAAAATCCCAGTTTGTTAATACACCAGCAGTTGACTCTTCCCGGTATTCTTTTATCTCTGCTTCACAAAAAGGTTCTTGAATGCAGTATTGTAATTTTTGTTAAATGCTGTATAAATGAGAGGGTTTGAAAAAAGAGTGAGTAGCCAAGCCAAAGGAAGATGCTTTTCCAGACAGGTGCAACAGTGCAGGAACACAGAGAGCTTATTAGTTCAGTGACAAAGAAGGGAATCCAGCAAAGTACAAATACACTAATTAGAATGCCAACCATCATCGCTGCTTTTTTCTCTTTCTGTTCCTTCCAAGTGTCTCCATCTGCCTGAAAAGTGACAGCGGCATGACGAACTGTAAATACCATCTGTGGCTGAGAAGATTCTTTCACCTTGACACAAAAGCAAACAGGAGCTTTCATTAAGGCAGTTTTGTTCGGATAGAAAAAGTAATTTGCCCCACAGCACCTCTAGCATAAACCTGGACTGTAGCCTATGAACACTTAAAAAAAGTGCCAGGCTTCTGAATGAATTATATTAGCAACAGGGCAAATGGAATGTGTGATCCTCCAGGTAGTGGTGGACTACAACTCCCATGAGGCGTAGTCAGCATTGCCAGTGGTGAAGAAAGATGGAAGTTGTAGTTCAACAATGTTTGGAAGACCACACTTGTATCTGGAACAGGGGCTTTCTGTGGCAAGTTCTGCAAGCCAGAAATGTCCAGCACACAAATTTCAGGACCTCGCCATAGAATCTGGAAGCCAAAAAGTAGCAAACAACTTTTTAACCCTACTGTCCCTGCTCCTGGGCACTACATAATTCTGGAGTAGCATCTGATACAACTAAAGATAGCTGATACCAGCACAGAAAACAATCCCCCTATGAGCACCTCGCACTGGCACATGGCTCTCAGCATCCCAGTCCCTTATTCTGACCTTTGAAAGACGGTGATCCAATATCTGGGTAAACGGTGTATAAAGCCAGCTTTCCATCACCTTTGGATAAATACACTACAAGCCTGACAACACTCCTATCTAAAGTACCCAGGTGAGACTGTTGAGCTCTGAGTGGTGTTGAGTGCCCATCCTCAACTTTGTTCAGCAATCAGGTTATGAAGAAAGAAACCATACAGAGCCCTTAACTCCTCCAGTGAAGTGGGGGAAAAATGAAAGGCATTTAATGTGGATTTGCCTAATCTCAAGAGTGCATTTATAAGGGATGAGCTGTGTTTTCTCCATTACTGTGCTTCGTTTGTAAAGGACAATGAACCTCTTTAGCACAGCAGGAGGGACGCAGCCCCAGGGAGGCTGAGTGTCAACAAAAGGCAATCATCAGTCATAGAAACAGATGATGATATCTTTTACCTCCAGCTAGCAGACCAGATGCTGGAATGTAAGAAAGAAGATGGAAATATACAGCAGCTTCTCCGAATACTATTAACGTGGGCTAGGAAACAGGTGGCCATTTGTCCATCTCACCTCTACCTATATAACTCTTTAATACATTCCAAAGGTCTCAAATGAATACTTCTTTTTTTATGGCCTCTGTGAATGTACACATATGGGTATTGTCTGCGCCTGCACTGACTCTCTCGGAAGATTCTAGAGCTAAAAGTAACAATTTTATGGTGTGATCCTCCATGAGGTATATGCTCCTCCCACCCACCATCTTCCCCAGTTCCTTTTTTCCACCGAGCTGAACGGTTCTCAGGAAAACATCAGCGCTTCGCTTTTTGCCTTCTGGCTATTTTTCTAGGCTCCTTTGAGCTTTTTGTTTGCTTACCTTTACTTTAATTGCCTATTTAGTGATCCTCCATGTCTTTTGTTTGCCTAATCGCGCCCCGCCCCGCCTCTTT